TAAGGCCTTAAGAAAAAGCTCTAACTAGCTTGGGCCAGATTACCCAGAAACTGGCCTCTCCCCATGCCGGGTGGCCAAGGAGATCAGCAGAGACCTGGGGGAGATACTGCCAGAGCCACGGAACTTGCTCTCCACTCTGTCTATGCTGCAGTCAGAGGTGTGGCTGCAGCACATGTAGATGCTAGCTTTAGTCCAGTTCTAACACCAGTAACAGTGAACCTATGACAGCACCCTGGATATGGATTGGAGTAGCTAGCCTGTGCTCCCATGCTTTCACTGCTAATGGTGTCCGAGCTGTCTAGAATGAAGCTAGAGTGTGTGTGTGTCTATGTCTATGCATGTGTGTGTGTGAGAGAGAAGGTGGGGGGTCTCTACACTTGCTCCCAGGGCTTTGGAGTGGAGCCCGGAGCTAGAGCCCGGAGCAGTGGAACTGCAGGTTTTTGCCCAGAGCTGGAGCGGAGCCGGAGCATAGAAAATCTTGACTGCTCCAGGGTTTTTTTTTTTCATTTTCAATCCAAAATGAATGATATTTTAGCAAGAAAGTCCTAAAGGTGCCAAAACGTTTCAGATTGTATAACAATTGATGTTAACATCTACTTTATAACTTTACGTAATATCAGTTATTCTCACTTTGGCCAAAATCAAGATTTAATGTACAGGTACAAAATTAAAGTTTTTTGGAGATATGTTTTATTAAAGAATTAGATAATTATCAGACATCCGGCAACACTGCAGACTGCTCCCACCTTTTTGCCAAGGTTGGGCGAGTACATACTCGCGTAGATTAGTTAGATAAGTATGTGTTTATTTTCAACCTTGTAACGTGTAGCCTCGTTACTTCCCAACAATTAATGTTGTAGAACAGCAATAGCACATATTAACACTATGGCACATACCAAATGTCATTGATATATCTATTAAAGCGTTTTTGAGATATTAATTAAAAACTTGGAAAATATTTTGAATATTCTACCGCAAAATTATATAAGAAAAACTAACGTGCAATTTATAAATAAAAATTTATATTAATTATGTTTATTAAAAATTTATAGTTAAAAATTAATTTGAGTTGGAGTGCAGAGCGGAGTCAGAGCGGAGCTGGAGCGGTCACTATTGGTGCCAGAGCGGAGCAATTAAAAAATTTGATTGCTCCAAATCCCTGCTTCCTCCATTTGCACCCCTGAATGCAGTGTAGACATACTATCAATCCACCAGGCCCAGCTGTGTTCACCTTCTGGGCATGCTGCAAAGTCCATCTCTTTCCCCAGGCTTCGAAGGGATTGAGAGGTTTTCTATGGGCCAGATTCCACTACCCTTTAAGTGAGTAGTACTTTGGTGGATGGAGCTATTAAGTGTGATGAAAGGGATCACAATCTGGTCCTGTATGTGCAGAAAGTGTATTTCTCCCATTATGTGTCTACGGGAATTTAGTTAGCGCGCAGCGTGGGCTGAGCAATCATTGGTACTGTGCTGCCTGGCAGGATTATATGTTATCTGCTTGGGGTGCCTGGAGCAAAGAATTGGGCACCTTATAGAGAAAGAAATCCAGGATGGGCTCTAGGCTTTGGATGCCCCATAAGGGAGGTGGCATTTCAGAGGTGCCGATCTACGACTGTCTCAGTGACAGGGAAATATTGTGCAGTCTAAGTGGATATGTCCAGTGTAAAACTTATTTGAGGACAGCACCCCCACCTTACCCCAAGGAGCACCCCCTCTGTCCGGCCTATGGTGATGCCGCAGACCTCAGACCATGTTACTTGGCTTTGGGATGGGGCAGGAGGCAGCACAGCAGAGCCCCC